GAAAAGCCCACTTGCCAGGACAGTAAAGTTGTGGAACTGGCCATTTGCCTTATATTTAGCATTTTGCCCCAGTGGCTCAATGGCACAACCATGTAGCGCGAAAGGGTTAAGTAGATTCACTGACGAATGTAACAAGAAAACAGTTGTGAACAAATCCTCTCATTCCCTTTCGTTGTCGCGGTGCCTTGTGATCATCGTATAACATTTTACACAAAACATGTCGACATATAGGAAATGCTTACAGTACAATTACACCTCCTTGTAGCTACCATAATTACTATATTAAAACTGCTGTCCCTGAAACGCTTTTTTACAACTTTATGGAAGAAAAAAAGAAAAAGATCAAGGAACGACAAGTTACGTTACAATGTCCACTAACACCACCCGTTACTAAACAATCAGCTCATGCGATAAAATTGCCCAACACTGTCCGATCGTAATGACGTTCTACAACTAACTGGCTAACAGAAAAAAAGCCTTCCAACTTGGAAAGTTCTAAGTTATAGAAATAACATAGGGAGGGGAAGGTGAGCGCAACCAAGACAAGCCCGGGCTGAAAGTCTCAGCTGTGAAGAACGTTGGCGGATGTTCATGCATGTCGATGACGATACTGGCAAGACAATTGGACAATACGGTCAAACCACGATTGACGCGAAACGAACGTCGTGTGAAACTGCTGCTTGTTATAGCTGTGAATTGTCCATCTAAACTGTCATAGTTGAAGACAGTGCTGCTTTACTGAGGCGTTCGGTTTTCTTGATTCTTGTTCGTATATTTTACCCTTTTATTGATCTTATTAGGCCATCATTTTTTATATCTATGTTTCGCGTCAGTTCAACTTCCAGAATCATATGCGAGAGGTGGAAAGAAATAAAAAGTTGCAAAATAATAAAAAAGGATCATCAGAGGTGAATAGCACTGTACATACTACATAGCCTATTGACTATTGTCAATAGCTCGTGCATGGTGTACATTCGAAAGAAAAATCGTACATCAAAGCACAAAATCTGGGTTATCAGCAAGAGTAAATATTCACTTTGGACAGAGGAGGCAACCGTTGGTGCCCATGCTTCGCTGGATTATTGTACTCAGCCTTCAGCAGCGGTGCAAAGAGCTCCGAAACGACGCATCCTCTCAGCTTGAGGCGATCGTTGCGGTCTGGTGTAAGCTCGCAGATGCAGAACAAACGATCTATCAACGCTGGCCTCGAGGCTGAATCCCAGCTTTGCCGTATGCAACCAGTTCACACTGATGACTCGCATGATCGTACACTCACTGTGCATGTTCGATTTTTTTATATTTTTCCGAAAAAAATCAAAACGTATGCGTGCGGACGACGAGAAACATATATATAAAAAATGATGGCCTTAACTGGTTTGAGGGAAAGAGACAAACGGGAAAAGTCTGAAGAAAATATTGACTGTCACACTTTACGTACAAACTAGCACGCGGGGAGCCCCAAGTCATAACATATGAACTGGTTTGAGGGAAAGAGACAAACGGGAAAAGTTTGATCTTGGCATGTTTTGAGCCACGCAAGTTGTGTGGAATGCTGCTTTTGCGTTCTCCTGCGGTGGTAATGTATCTGCATTCTGGCAGTAAAAAAGGTGCTCAGTCTGGGAGCAAGTGAAAATCCCTTCTCAGTGCCGCGATGAAAGCTGAGAAAGGTACGTAATGGTAACGTTAGTACATCGGTAGTGCGAATGTCCCTCACAGTTTTTAACAATCCCCTTTTTGACGGGGTTTGCGGCAATCTGAATGCGAAAACGCCAACTTTGAGGAAATCTAAGAGTCCCCTTAGTGTGATCTAATGGTCTAGGTCATCCACAAGAGAACATTTCATATACAAAATCTGATCAGCACCATTTCAAAATAGGATCCCAGATGAAGAGTTGAGATGCAAAACTCGATTTACGTAAAATTTGAGAAAATGTGATTTTCTGCCCAGTGTCATCAAAGGATCGTGAGGCACCACCAGGCATAATTTCACATTCAAAATCCGACTAGAACCATTTCAAAATGGGACCCCAGATATGTATTCAGATACTAACCGCACATGAACAATCCCCTTCCGGGGAAAAGTGATGAAATGGATTTATCGGTTTTGTCATTCCAGCTCTTCGATTGCACCTACAGATTTATTTTTTAATTGTAATTGACTAGACTCGGATGGACTTATAGTGTTGGAGAAACTATGGATAACCTGTGACATCATGCTACTGTTAAGTTCGCTAATAACGACTACGGATATAACAACAATTCGCGAATAACGACAGAATTTCTATACCCAGAGCAAAGTCCATTCTAGCGGTATACATACAGTGAGGCTTCAGGTATAATGACACTTGGCGAATAAGAACACTTTTCTGATGCCCGCCGAGTGTCGTCATACACAAGGTTGACTGTGCTTTCTTTTAAAATTTAATGTAATGGACTGTGGATTATGTTTGTCTAAGAACATTACCTCGCAGGCTGATGGTGTACGTTGTTGACAAAGGTGCAACTGCTTTATCACATCGGTCCAGTACACCTTTCGGGGGCTGTGGCTTTTGACCTTCTACAAACCTACATTTGTAACTGGTCGGGTAGGTAGTAGTGCAGGTCAGGTTGAACATAGCGCCAGCTGGGTGGGCACTGCTAAACATGATACCCGAATCTGTCCCGGTGAAACTGAAAGTGGAATTGACATACTCCAACAGTCCCGTTGGAAATGCTCCATTCGTTGTGTTTATTCTCTTTGTTGTTAGACCTATAGTGGATGTCCAAGTGACACTCATGCCTGGCGAACCCAAAGTATTACAAGGAATTTCATATTGCTTGTCAGTGTAACTGAAAACCATTGTGGGAGAGATGACAGTGGTTCGGTTTTGCTCCGCTGCGCGTTAGGAAAACAAAAAATGTCAGTGAAAACAAACAACATAATAAGATGGTGAAAAATGCTCTTAAACCCTTTTAAAAACGTAGTAAGCCCCTCTATCTCGAAGAGCTTTGCTCACTTATTAGTCGCGACAAAAATGCTACAAATGGTGAGCTGAGGCCAAGAAAATTGCCCAGATCAGCAAAAAATGAGCGGCCATTCCTGTTCTGGTGGATGATTCTGGAGATGCGGCTTGTGATCCCTCTAAAGCAGAAGCACTGGCCCGTTCCTTCAAAATTCAGTTCGCCCCAAATCCATCATTCGACCGCCAGCACAGTTTCCACTAGATTTCCACTTTCAATTGCCAAACATAACCAAGCATGAAGTCTTCCACAAGTTTCAGACTCTGCCCAAGCACAAGTCAGTGAGAAGGGATGTCACCCACTTAATACTGAGAGAATTGGCACCCGTGATCACGCAGTCCCTGTGCAACCTCTTCAACACCAGTCTCCGACTCGGGCAGCTACCTAATGACTGGAAGTTGGCTACAGTAACACCTACCGTATTTTACCGGTTATAAGTCGACCCTGGTTATAGGTCGACCCCCCGTATCCGGAGGTCTTAATTATGTTTTTAAAGTGTTTGCCCAACGAAGCACTGCTAACCGCTCCCTGCTACTAACACATGAACAAATCACATAAAGACTCCTCATTGGATTCTGAAACATCCCAATCCTTGAAAAAGGCAAATAAACTTGGCAAAAATGCATACGCATGGTGCACTCGTGTACTCATTGCAGGTCATTTTTGGAAGATACCGATAATTCCCGGTTATAAGTCGAATCCCGGTTGTAAGTTGACCCCCACCTTTTCTCCTGCTATTCTCAGTCATAAATGGTCGACTTATAACCGGAAAAATACGGTGTCTACAAAGAGAACGGCAGACCTGCATAGCCAGCTAGCTACATGACCATCTCCCTACTGCCGGCTGTTGCTAAGATCCTGGATGCCATCATCGTCGAACACCTTTTAAAATACCAGGTTCCTGAATGGGCAGGAATTAATTACCGACCACCAGCATAGCTTTGTCTGTTGCAAGCCGACATTAAATTTTGATCAGCTAACTGTCCGGTCTTCAAGCGTGGCTAAAGCACTCGACGACCGCACTGGCTACCACGCTCTATTCTTTGATTTCGCAAAAGCGTACCGTGCACCGTGCTTCTCTGTCAGATCGCCACTATAGCATGCCCTGAAGCCGATTCTTGGTTCTTCAAGTACCTCGAGGACCGGTCCTTCTGTAACAAAGTTCTCTCTGCCAAGTCGCCGACCTACCCACTTTCCCCCAGGATCTCACCTTGGCCTCCTTCTATCCTTTCTCTATATTAATGTCCTTCCTCACACCATACCGTCTGATGTCACTACTGATGTGCTCCTATTTGCCGATGACACTACTCTTGGGAGAGCGGCCGGAGGACTTAACCAACATCCAATAGTCCACCCCCTCCAGGCCGCCACTGATGCTGTTCTGCAGTGGGCTCATTCAGTAGGAGGGTGCTTCAACCCCTTGAAGTCTTGCACCGTGTAGTTCTCTCTTAGAAGTCGTGCAGAACATGCTCACCCTACTCATCCGATCCCGCACCTGTGTATGCAGGGAGATGACGTGTCTGATGTAACGACCTACCAACATTTTGGAGTCATCTTCGACCGTCTAACATCGACTTCACCAGCCACATCGCCACCATCACGACAAAGTTCCGCCAGCGAGTGGTCATTCTGATCCAAATGACCAGGCGTAACACTCCAGCAGTAGCCAGTCGCTTGTACACTGGATGTATTCGCCCTGTGATTGAATATGCCTCGTCCCTCTGGCAATTTCAACTCTCCAGTGCTCAGGCTACTACCCTTGAATGGCTACAGGCAAGAATGGCACGTGTGATCCTGCGGCAGTATGGCATGTATCCTCCTCAAACGGAGCCGAAACCCTGACGTTTTGCGCACCTTCAGTGGCCCAGCCTCGCATGACGAAGGGCAAATTCAGTGCCGTCTTCAGCTCCACCGCCTTATCCACAGCCAGATGACGACCCTGCTGGATTCATTCCACGTGTTTTTTTCTGCATGTCCGTTCTTGCATGCCTGCGTGTGCTTGTGTTTGCATACGTGTTTTTCATGCATTGGCATTATTTGTTCGGTCGTCTGTTTGCGTTTGCTTGCATTATTTTGTGTGCTTTCGTACACTTGCATTCATTGTGTGTGCGTACCTGTGCTTGCGTTTGAATATGTGTTCTTGTTGTTTTTATCTGTTTTCATGAATTCCTCACAGGCCTTAGCCTAAATCGAGGTGGTGTCCATCAACATCTTATGACCAAGAAGAAGCTGAGGAGTAAAAATCCAAAGATGGAAATTTAACACTTCTGCTCTATGACATTGCTACTCTACGTGGAATGAATGCAGGCTCATAATGTGTGGTAGTGAAGTTGGTGGGGACAAAAGAGATAAAACATTTTGGGCTAGAAACAGTATGAATGGCAGCCCAGCCAGGAAGGCGTTCCATGTGGCAGTGGTGACAAAGAAAAAAGGTGGCACCGGTGTGTGTGCGCTGGCTCTAGCAGGCGGTAGCTGTTGTCGGGGGCGCCTGATTCTGTGTGATACTGTGCAATCTAGGTCCTCCAGGGTCGTCATCTGGCTGTGGATAAGGCGGTGGAGCTGAATAAGGGTCCAAGAACAGAGAAATAGACTTTCAGCCAGGTTTTACCAAATTAGGACAGGTTTGCCATGGCAAAAGTATGCAGAAGCAGATCCAACCCAGATTATTATTATAAAGGTTTTAAGGGGGCAGCCTACCCATAAATTTCATATGGCATTCAATTGACCGTAACTTTGGTGTTTCTCAATGGATTTGAGTGAAATTTTGACCACACACTCCTGCCACTATGCTGGCCCTCAGAACATGATTTACAAGTTCTTGCGCCTCACTAGCAGGCTTTCCAGGCCGGAAAAACTCAAATTTCCGGCATAGTGCCACGATGTGAGAGCCACCCAGGAGCCAAACAAATGCATTTACAATTTTTTCACGTTTTCGTGCTCATTCTGTTCGTGCGCGGGACTCAAACCTAGAACAAGTCCAGAAGCAGCTATGGGTGATGGGGTAGGGCCCCCCAAAACGAGGCCCTGGAATCTGTCACAACGGAACGAGTGGGCGTTCTCTCACACACTCCCACAGACCCAAGTCAATTTTTGAATTTTTTTAGGTTTAGCACGTGCTACTAGGTCGTACCTTTGATACAACATCCAGTGCTGGGACCTCCACAGCAAGCCATTTCCACAGCGCTGCACACCAAATCCAGGATACCCTCAGGAACCGGCAAAGACTACCACTCACGTTTCACTACTCCCTAGTACTGAATCCTACCTGACTTCTTGACACGACTCAAACTTGCCAAAGTCACTAAATCAACGTCAACTACAATAATCAAGCCACATATCTGCAACGTCACGAGGGTGCTGGCAAAAGTCCTGCTGCACGGCGGCGGGCTTCGCCCGCCGCCGTGCAGCCCAATACGTGGCTCAAAAACCTGATTTTTTGGACTTGGAGCAAAATTCTGCACACTTTCACGTGTTTCCATGATACGACAAGTTGCACACGGTCTGCTCACATTCAAATACAGTGCTGCCAACAAATGACAGCGTGCAACAAAAAAATCTTTCCTTGCAAGGGCACATTTTCGGCCATAACTCTTGAACGGCCGGTCAGATCGGGACACAATTTTCAGAGAATTTGCAGCTATTCATGCTCTTTCAACTGACGTAGCACTCAATATGAATTTACAAATTCGATTTTTCAGCGAATTTTTGGGTAGTCTGCCACCTTAAGTGGGGTTTTGATCCTCAATTCGGCCAAAATCAGACTTTCAAAAGCCAGATATTCCTATTCCTATTTCAATCTTATTTACTCGGATTGGAAGCCAAGGATAAATTTATAGAACGGAAAAGGATCAAGGAGCTACAAATTACGCTATAATGTTCACTTACACCATGGCTGTTGGAGTGCGCATCCAAGTGCTAGAGCTGATAGCCAGTTAGGGCGCGTTAAGACTACCGATAAAAAGTGATGAATTGAGAAAGCTTCCAATGTGATTTGATCACATGACGTTACTGGCACGCTACCAGCGGAAAAGGTTTACTGCCGCTACTGCTGCCGCAGCAAAACTTTTCCAGCGGAGAAAAAGGGAAAATCCCTTCTCAGTGCCGTGGTGAGAGCTTCAAAACTTACGTAACGGTAACGTTAGTTTACTGGCAGTGCAAATGTCCTTCAACGGTTATCGCCATTCATGGTTTGACGGGATTCACGGTAGTCTGACCGCGCCCGTAGTTGTAGAACGTCAGTACAGTCGGTCAGTGTTGTGCAATGCTATAATAATAATATCTTTATTAGGATGACCCAGAGGCTTGTCGCCAATCAAGGGGTTCACCGCTTTGAAGGGTGTACTTGTACATATGTGAGCTAAAGTGAAAGTAGTGGAAAGTAAAAGTTGTGCAGCTTGAATGCGTTGGGAAGCACACAGGGGGGGGGGGGGGGGGTGGGGTATGTACATGGTATGGGCATGCCGGAGAGCGAAGCACTATGTTTGCAAGTGAGTTTGCGAAGCCCATTCTTGAAAACAATAATGGATGGTTCTGCAGTTAGTCTTGGTGGGAGGCAGTTCCATAAGAGGGAGGTTTGGAAGAGAAACAACGATTTTGATGTGGTCTTTGCTTTAGGGAGAATAATTTTGCTTGAGATCGCGTGAGCTGATTGTTTAGTAGCTGCTGGTGGTGTTAGTGCACATTAGAGTGTAATTTGTAGTTCCTTGATCCTTTTCTTTTCTATAAATCACTTCTATTTTTTTAGGAATACTCCTTTTCCTATTCCTATTTCCGATGAATGGACTGTAATGATTTTTTTCTCGAACACTACATTATTATAGTGATCCACATCACCAGGAATACACACTTACTGTGCTAGCAATCAGTGAAACATGC